TTCTATAATTCATCTATGTTTTTTTATATCTCAATTAACTATATTCGAGTTATAGTTTCACGTATGAAATTGTAGTGTGTAATTACGAAAGAAGCATTACTACAAAAAATTACAATTTAAACATTATCCTACACATGGTAATTATTAAAGTAAAGAGTTTTAATCACGACAACTATTTTTTTTTGGTCGTCGGAGTTGTTGATTTTAATCGGTGATATCCATAATCAAACTAATCACTTAGAATGACTTTTTATGATCCATTATTTCACTTAAAGTCTTTCCATAACCAATATTTCGACAAAATCATAAAATAATGACTTTTTATGATCCATTAAGATCCTGACAAATTCTCCCTAATATTCCCTCGATTGAAAAAAATGGATGGTTCGCCTCATGTATCCAAGGGAAGTTGGTTCAGGTTTCGGTACGAGGAATGCGTGGACACGCCAAACGACACTCGAAACGCTCTGCTGGTAGTTGCTACGGTGATCACCGCCGTAACCTTCCAGTCCGGAGTTAATCCGCCTGGAGGAGTTTGGCAAGACGATACCAATGGACATAAAGCAGGAACGGCGATATACGCAAGCCGAAATGTAGCATTTCATGTCTTTCTAACTTCGAACACTTTGGCCATTTCTTCCTCAATTCTTGTACTGATGTCTCTCACATACAAATTCCCTTTTTATCTTGAGTTGTTGGCTGCAATTCTGGGAATGCTTGTGACCTATGCATCTGCAGTTTTTGCTATTTCACCTGATGAATCAGTGAGATTTGGTTCTGTTTTGGGCGCTGTTGCTGTGCCTTTCATGTTTAGGTTTCTGATTCATATTTATAAAAGGCTCAGAAGTAAGGCATAATTGCTGAATTTTTCTTGGAATTTAAACTTTATAAAATATTATGAATCGTCAAGATCTCCATATCAAATCATCAAGAAAATTAATTAATGCGAAACATACCTTAATCCATTGATTTGTATCTTGAATAATGAATCTTGAATCTTGATTTTCCATTCTTTTATTTAATTGCTCCAATACTTCTTCTTGATTCTTGATTATAATTCTCGATTCTTGATTGTGCATTTTGGATCTTCCTCTTCAATATACAATTTTCATTGGTTTTTCGGTATTTTATTTCAGTCATATTTTATTTATATATAGTCTCCAGCATGATATCAAAGCCAAGATAACGTCGTCGTTTAAATTATTTTGAGTTCTTCCATTAATTAGTAAATTTTATTTTCATGTTATATTTTATAAGTTTTTTTGGCTATTTCTCGGATTGTATAATTACTATGTTAATGTTTCATTTTATAGAGTTATTAAATTAATTGTGTATTAATTGTGTCTTTTCCTTTATAATGATAAACAGAAAGTTATACTTACAAATTCTATAATTTATTTATGTGTTATATATCAATTAATTATATTCGAGTTATAGTTTCACATATGAAATTGCAGTGTGTAATTACGAAAGAAGCGTTACTACAAAAAAATTGCAATTTTCCATGATGAATGACATCTTACCTGCATTATTTAAACATTATCCTACACATGGTTATTTATTTTTCGATAAATAATAAAGTAATTGTTAAAGTAAAGAGTATTGATCACGACTACTTTTTTTTTTGGTCATCGGAGTTGTTGATTTTAATCGGTG